CAGGTTAAAAACAAAAACACATATGATTTCAAGGTTTCATATTGCTATTAACAGGCAGTTAGGAAGAGATGCTCCAAGCAGTCCTATACAATGTGTCTCAATACACCAGAGCACTATGGTTTCACATGTAATGTTAATTCTGCCCGAGACAAATCCCATAATCTGTGCAGTTTCAGAGCCTAATACTGAAAGACATCGGGGTGGGTTTTGTTTGGGGTTTTGCTCTCTCCATCCCAGGGGCTCCCTGTCTTTCCTATCGTGCTAACCCAAAGGAGGAAATGGGGCAGCTGGGAGATCAGGTTTTATCAGGGCGCGCTGCGTTTACAGGACGCTGCCAGTTTAGGAGAGAAAAACAGAGGTGTGTTGAAGGCACTGGTCACAGATCTGGGCATGCAGATGCGTGGCTGGTGCTTGGACCTTTTGTGGTAGGAAAGGGAAAGAGCTGTCCTTCCTAAAGATTTCAAAGGAAGACAGTAAGCTGGCTGAGGTCGTGGCTGAGCCCGACCCTGCCGTCTTTCCATTTTTGTTGTTTTGTACGAAGTCAGCTTCCGTTTGTGTGGGATGCACCCGACTCCTGACTCCTTTGTTTTTCTCTTTTGCAAGATTAAAACATGTCTCTGTATGCAGTAAACCACCACCTAACACTGGCACGCCTGGTTTTGGGTTACAGCTTTGTCGGGGTAACAACACCGAGGTTTTCACCGGGTGTTAGCAGCAGGTTCAAACTTGTGTTGTGCTGCCCCATCACCCCACCCCCCCCGCTTCTGGTTAAATGGGGGCGGGCACAGGACTGCAGCCCCTGCCCTGCAGGTAACCGGAATGGGCTGCCTGGCGCTGTCCAGGACGCCAAAGGCACCGCTTCCCCATTCCAGACCCGGCCTCCAGTCTTCGGGCCGCTGAGTGCTGCGCCCGGGTCCAAAAAGGATAAAACAGGGCACTCGGTTAAAAAACGAAATGTAGAGGGGGTAGGAGAAAAAGGTATGAGCCCCCCCCCTTTGAAAGCCTCAGCTCAGAGCCAAGGACCCCAAGGGAGGGCGGAACACCCAAACACAACTTCCCCAGAGCCGCCAGCCAAAGCACCTGGCTTTCCTGGGAGACCTCCGCTCCGAGTGCCCAGGGCAGGCCCAGCTGGACTCCCTGTTGGCGCCACGGCTGCCCTGCGGCGGGAGCCCCCGCTGTGGCGGAGGCGGCGGCCTCCCCCTCGCTGCCGGGAGGAGACCCAGCCGTCTGCGGCCCTTCCTCCTGGGAGACGAGGAAAGCCAGAGGCCCTAGGCCCCGCCAGGCCAGCTTTCGCCACCCTGGCCCCCTCTCCGGGCTCGTCCTCTTCTTGGGCCTCGGCTTTCGTTCCCTCCAGCGCAGGGTGCTCGCCTCCCGGCCGGACCACACACACACACACACACACACACACACACACACACACACACACAC